AAAATGCATAAAATAATGTTAAAATGCAGATTTTCCAAGAAATGGTATCGGAATCTCACAAAATAGCACTTTGAAAATCAAAATTAAGCACAAATGCAAACAAAGATGTTGATTTTAGTTTGCTCGCTCTCACATGCATATCCTCAATTCTACTAATAGGCATGTAAAATAGATTAAAACTCAAGAAAAGATGCTACTACAGCATGCTTACTAACATAAAAACAAAGAACACAACGACATACTAACGTGATTTCATACAAAACTTTCCCCGGCAACGGTGCCAAAATTTGTTGAGGACTTGTCGTACGGTCCAAAACAAATTAAAAATTTATAAATAACCTTAGCTAACCCCCAAGATATAATCAAACAAAAACTATAGCTAGGGCAAGTAAGGGTCGATCCCACAGAGAAAGTTTGTACTTTTTAAAACCAATTAGCATGCAAAAACGTTGTCACTAAAAAAATTAACTACTACACATATGATAAAACTTATAACTAAATAAATATAAAAACTTATAAATATAACTTATATAAACAAAGAACTTATAATATAACTTATAGACTCAAAACAAATAATAAAGTATATAAAAGTAAATAAAGTATAAAAACTTATATTTATAACTTAAAACACAAAGGGGGGGGGGGTTGTTGGATGAAAAGTAAATAATTTTTCGGTTTTTATATTTTGTTATTTTTTTGATTTTTTTGATAAAATGGTGGAAAACAAGCTCTAAAGATAATCAACTCCTCCAACAAAGGTAACCCAAAAAACACCGCCAAGAACCCGAAACAAAATGAAAGAGAGAACAAACACAAGTTGAACATTACACGTATAATAGGCACGTAGACAATATATTACGTAACTTACGCACTTAAGAATAGAAAAGAATTCAAAGGCTCGAGTTGATTCATATCCTTGACCACATATAGAGGATCTTCAACTCTCTTTAAGGCCCGGAGTCAAGAATTCAAAGGCCTTTTGGATCACTTTGAACCCCCACTCACCTCAAGCGCTCAAACAATGATTCCAAAAGATGAAAATGTTTATAAAAGAGCAAATCATTCTTTCATTCTAACTCCCATGCACAAAGTATTCATGAAGAACATTTGATACACTTTAATAAACTTTAACGTCTAATGATGAAAATATTTTGCAGGTCTCCTTGAACAACTCAAACATAAGAATTGTAATCTATTCACATAAAAGAACATTACATATTTTCAAAAACATAAAAAATGTTTTTGTGCTTAAACAAATTTAAATTTTATGAAAATCAACACAAAACAAACGAACAACATAACAATCACTTCATAACGAATCTTAAGGAAAATGTCCAACTTATGGGGCTAAGAAGTCCATAATCCTTAAAATTTTACAAAACACATAGCACAACGAAGAATCACGTATGAATTCGGAAATCATATACTATAATATGGAGCTAAAATAGCTTCAATGAAAACCAAATTCTACATACCAACCTACTTATGAAATCAAACCGTGCGATTCAACCAATTCAACAACAATTTGCACAACAATTGAAGAAAACTAGTTCGAATCAATTCTCATTCATAAGGGATTTAATATAGACATTAAAAACCCATAAAAGAACACCAACCATTTTGGAATTTTTAAAATTAACACAAACAAACAAGCAAAAATGTAAAAATGAATTCGAACAACACCTTTACAAAGAATTGGAAAAAATTGAAGAAATAACATATAGGGTTACCAATTGTTGAAGAAGATCAAATTGAAGAAGTGGAACTGTGTGGAGGGTTCCAACCGCTCACCGGGACTGCTGCGGCCGCCAGTTTGCGTCTTCCAGCCGTCCGCCACCGCCGCCCCGGCTATGCCGCGGCTCTCTGGTCATTCTCTCCGCTGTTTCCCTCCCCTTCTGTTCTTCTTGTGAATCTCCAATTTATAGAATGGAAGAGCCAAATTCTTCCCGTTGGAGAATTGAATGACGAAATTGATGGCCGATCGTTGGAGAAAGGGCGAGAGACGTTGGAGCGTTACACTTCCGCCTGTTGCGCGATGGAGAAGGAGAAGCCGATTCTCCATTTCTTTTTTTTCCTTTGGTGCGTTGAATGAAATGAGGAGAGGAGCGCTGGGCTCGGTTTGTTGTTGATGATGGTTTGGGCTTCGGCCCAAATGCAGTCTTTTTTTTCCAAACTTGATCTTCAATTTGGTCTTTTTCTACGCTTTTCTCCACAAAATAAGATATCTGATAATTTTGGGTTAGGAAAAATAAAATAAAAATAATAAAATGTAAAAAAAATGATAAAAAAGCTATTATGTTTTGAAAGAAAATTAAAAGATTGTAAAAATAAGAATTAAAATAAAACTAAGCAAAACATCTAAAAACTAAACTCTAAAAGTATTAAAAATACATAAAAAAGAATAAAAAGAACTAACCCAAAAACGACTAATCATTACGTCTGCACGTAACGTCTTTCTAGATCGATTATTCATTAAATTCTTTTGGTTTGTATCCAGCCACAACACCACATTATGATGTGCTGGGGATAAGTATTGCTTTCTTTTTAATAATCAAACAAGTTCTCATTGTCCTTTATACGGTCATTCCCATTTGATACCAAAATAAGACTCCCTCATCCATCCAGATCTGCAGCCCCTTCAGAATTTACTTATCCATTCCGGTGATCAAATGAGATAATCGAATAATGGACAAGATATTTTACTACGTGTACATTTTTACACTCTTTCTTTTGTTACCTAGCATCTCATCGTCAGAGTTTATGTTAACATTCAACTTGTAGTAATTAGGTTCCATCTACAGGAAGTGAATTCCTATCTTAGACTATAGCATTTTAGTATGAACAGTAATCAACAATTTGCAGCTCAACACAGCTATTTCAAAGTCAACTTGACACAGACATTCAAGCAATCGGCTTCATACAAGTATTTGAGCAATCAGCTCAGCACAACTATTCGAACTATCAGTTCAGTTCAAACATTTTGAGCAATCAGCTCCATACAAACTTTTAAGCAATAAGACAATAACTTATTACCTTCCTGGGAGACAGAGATGACGTGGAGGATGCAAATGCAGTACTAGAAAATAACCTTTGCCCATTTTATATTATCAAAATGATGCTATTTCCACTTATTTATTTCAAAATAGTATTTTGCAATGGTCCGAAGACCGATTTTAAAACCATATGCTCTGATACCAAAATGTAACCCCAACCCGCGTAACCCGAATAAATAGGTTAGCGGACCGGGTTGCTACTAAATTGGTATCAACATAAAATATTTTCCAATAAATTAAAACATTTAATTTATAACTCAAACCATTCAAAACAATTTAAATACATATCGGAGTTTATACAAACAGTGCGGAAGCCTTATAATTAACTCAAATATCAACTTTATTAAAACCCTGCATCCGTACATCTCCTCCGTGATGCTGCTCTCCAGGATGTATTTCAGAATCAATCTTCCACAACCACCTACGTGTAGCAAATAGGAAAAAGGGCTACACGCTCAACATTGAAGCTAAGTGAGAAATATCTAACAGTTCGAACATACACATAGGCGAATCCACTAATTCACAATTATCACATGATATCAGGCACACAACATGCTTGGCAACAATCATACGGCATCCAAGATATAACATGCATAATCAACGTCATAACAATTCATAGGATACAAACAGCATCGGTATATGTATTAGGAACTTTCCTTTTTAGTTTACTTTACTTTTCTTATCATACTTGGCTCTTAACCTATCTATACTTTATTTAAAAAGAGGTGAATATTTTCCCGCCCATGCATGAGACTCATGTATGGATAGTGTTGACTACACAAATGGTAGTTTAATGATTTTGCCTCAATATTTTCCTTCCATTTTAAGTATGTTTTCATTTTTATTTAAATGTTACACCATTTAAGTATTTAAATTAAATTAAATAGTAGTGAACCACTGGGGAATTATAGTATGGAAATAAAATACAGAACCATTTCAATATGAAAATAAAATTAAAAAACTACAAATTAATAAAGTATGGGAGGGATAAGAACGATTTATTTCAAAAAAACTACGTACAAATTAATTAGTTATTTCAAAAAAATATTATAATTTACAAGCACGAACGTGTAAAAATGGTAAGTTTTCTAATATAAATTAGAAAATAAATATGGTACGGTAAGTAAATGGTAACATTTAAATACAAAAATAAAATAAAAAACTATAAAGTAATATTAAAACTATAATTTACAAGCATGGAAACGTTTTAAAAATGATAAGTGTTCTAATTAGAATATTAGAAAATAAATACGGTATGGTACGGTAAGCAAATGGCACCATTTAAAAATGAAAACAAAAAAAATGGTAAGTGTTCTAAAATAAATTAGGTAAGTGTTGTAAAATAAAAGAGAAAGTAAATACATCTAAAAATGATAAGTGTTCTAAAATAAATTAGAAAATAAATGTGGTTCGGTAAGTAATTAGTACCATTTAAATATGAAAATAAAATAAAAATTTGAAAAATTAATATTAATACTATAATTTATAAACTTGAAAATATTTTTAAAAGGTAAGTGTTCTAATTAGAAAATTGAAAAATAAATACGGTACGGTACGTCAGCACGATAAAAAAATGGTATCATTTTAATACAAAAATAAAATAAATGATAAGTGTTCTCAAATAAATTATGTAAGTCTTCTAAATTAATTAGAAAATAAAATAAATATCAAAATGGTAAGTGATCTAAAATATATTAGAAAATAAATACGGTACAGTAAGTAAATGATATGATTTAAATACAAAAATAAAATAGAAAAACAACAAATTAAAACTATTAATTAATACTACAATTTACAAGCATGGAAACGTGTAAAAATGATAAGTGTTATCAAATAAATTAAAAAATAAGTACAGTAAGTAAATGGTACCATTTAAATGCAGAAATAAAAAAAATTATAAATTAATACTATTTATACTATAAGCATGGAAACATGTTACAATGGTAAGTATTCTAAAACTAATACTACCTCCGTCCCAGTCTGTTTGTCCACTTTTGACTTTTGGAACTGTTCATCTAAGCACTTTGACTCATCAAATTCTCTCAATGTGTAAGCCTAAATATAGTCATGTGTGATCTTGTTTGATTTGTCTTAACATATAGATTATTAATATATAATTTCTATAATTTTTTAATATACAAATTACAAGATAAAATGGATTAAAGAAGTGCATTGGATGTTGTGCCAAAAGGTAAGTGGACAAAGAGAGTGGGACGAAGGGAGTACTATTAATATTATAATTTACAAGCATGGGCACGTGTAAAAATGGTAAGTGATCTAAAATAAAATAGAAAATAAATAACGTAGGGTAAGTAAATGGTACCATTTAAATAGGAAAATAAAATTGAAAAACTACAAATTCCAAAATAAATACATTAATATGTTGAATAATTGCTTAAATAAGTCAAATTATTGATTTTTTGTCAGGGACAATATCTGAAACATGATGAATTATTGTTACGGAAACCTGTATTTAGTCATAGTTAACTGTATGTTGCAGTTTCAGGAGTAATAAATCGCAATGGCTTGAAGATCCCTATATAAAACGAAGTGAATGCTCACACGAATTATAAGAGTAATGTAGTTTATAAAGAAGTCTTTCAAAATTTGCAAATCATTTTATTTTTGTACTTTAAAATAATGAAATCTTTACATTCCAATATATACCAAGTTATATTCTTAAAAATGATCTTAATTTAGTAAGGTAACTATGACCCGTGCAACGCACGGGTGTAATACTAGTACTAGGTTAAAGCTTAACTGAATTCGACTTGCCTGTGGAGTCATGACCTTCCCCTTCGGAACGAAGGTCAAGCTCAAACCAACTCGGGAGTTCCTCGTTGGGTGGGTGAGATCCTTGTCCCCTTCAGACCGACAGTTCTTAGATCCCCGTGTACACGTTTTTACCTGAACAACCATTGAACCCAGCAGGTACCACATGGCTCTAACTAACTATATGTATAGCATACCTTGCCACTAATCCACTCAAGTCACTTCCTAGAATTCTTCTAGGTGATATATCCAATATTCATTGACCAGTGCATAATACAACATTCATAAATCCACAATGTATTTAACAAGATATCAAACATAATCAGATAGCGGCCTAACACTGGGTGTAAACACCCATGTTTACCATCATGCAACTCACAGAGTCTCGCAATCAATCCTTGACAAAAACACAGATCGACGAACTCGGCATCAGGTACCAGACGATACCTGTCACGGTACGGGGTACCGTTCATATGGTACCTGGGTACCGGTCTTGCGGTACCTGGGTACCGTCCGAACCATCTGGGCTCTTCCGGTAGGACTGTCACGGTAGCCGACTACCGACTAGGCGGTAGGGCCTACCGTCAGTCCGGTACCTAGATACCTAATGGTCACAGCTACCGGCAGAGAGAACGTAAACATACAGAGTGTGATGGTAGCACGGTATCATCCCGGCAGTACCGCCTACCGTTTGACGCAATAATTTTCTAACTTCATATCTGTTTCGTTTTTTCAGCATCAAATCAACAACAATCTCATAACAGCAAACACCAATAGGTTCATATTAACGTTCTAAACATTATCAAGCATATTAATTCATCAATCAACGCCTAAATCATGCATACTACCCTTTTGATTCAACGACAACAAATCCCGAACCCATAATCAACAATCACATAGATAAATCACATAGATCAACCATGATAACAATTATGAATGGAATTTCAAACCTAGATGCATATTTTAGTGTTAGATGTCCACGTACTCACCTCATTGGTTCGATTCAATTCTAGAAAACATCACTTAGGGCCGGTCACCCGAATAGATCGTTGAAACTACCCCTTTCAGCCGGATTGACTTGCTGTCCGGACTCAGTCAATTAAGGCCCCGACTTTGCCAATCGCTGGAGGTCGCCGGCGTCACCGGAAGGTTTCACCACCAAAGATTACTGGACGGAGAAGGGTTGCACTGCTTGATCCTACCGTTGCCGCCCTCCATGCAAGTCGCCACAGGAGAAGGAGCAGAGAGTCGAGTCACCGGCGGAGGCCGCTGCTGGTTTGGCACATCGCCGCCGTCGTCGCTGGGTCACAGATGACCGCCATCATTGATTGACAGGGACTCCTCATGCTGCTGCGCGTTTCGGTTGGGGAAGGACCCTGCTACGCCGCTGTGCCTATCGCTAGAGATGAATGGCGAGTCGCTGCTGACGGTTTCAACGTCGCTCGTGGATCGGAGAAGGAGACTGCTGGAGGCAGCATTGAATCGAAGAAGAAGAAGAAGATCCAAGTTTGAGAAGATTCGTCGATCCCTACCGAATGATATAATTTTTATGGTCAATTGACAAAGATTTATACGTTCCACTTGACCCGTCTTAATTCTTTTGATTAATTAGTGCCGATTACCCCTCTATTTTAAATCTTTACGAATATAATTATATTAGTCTTGTTATATTCAAATGATTAGAATCTCTAAAATATCTTTTAATTCTTTAAAAGAATATATTGTCGTAAATAAATAATTCTTATTAATTTAATTATCAATTAACTTCTAGGCCGGTTTCTAGGGCGTTACATGAAGTGACCTCGCTTTTAGCTTTAATTAGATAAACCGAGACAGCACGAGAATGGTCATCGACAATGGTTTAGAAATAATGTATCCCGGTAGCCAAACAAGTAGAATATGGACCCCAAATATCACAATGACTTATATAAAAAGTAGGGGTTGCTTTATTAATACTTGTAGGAAACGAAGAATGAGTTTGTTTGGACATAAAACAAATATCACAAGTTTTCAACTTCTTAATATGAGAAGTGGTATTATTGAGACTAACAAAAGTAAACACTTGGGGAGATGGGTGACCCAAAGGCTTATGAAATAGAAGTGGATCAACAGTAGATGTGTGATTTTGAACCAAAGGACCGCAAAATACATAGACTCCATTAGGCAATTCACCCCTTCCAATATCCATTTTCGACAAATGGTCCTGTATTGCACAAAAAAGTTCATTAAAGATCACATGACAACCAACGGAAATCAAATGGCAATTTGAACTTGGCACTAACAGAACACCAGACAACACAAGGGTGGGTGAAAGCCGAACACACCCTTGTTGATAACCATGTACCCGAGAACCCTCAGGTAGACTAATCCCACATGGGGATATATCAGTAACATCAAACACATGATTTTTGTCTCCGGTCATATGATGGCATGATCCACTATCAATCAAAAATTTACTTTGAATAGATGACATACCATTATATTGCTAATAAGAGGATCGGAGGACTCAAGTAAGTGCATGAGCTTAGTCATTTTATCTCTCGGAGTTCTCGAGGAGTCAGTGTTGAAGGCATGTGCACCGGCGGCCACGTTGTGTACATGTGATGTGTGGTTGACTTTCATAAAATGGTTCTTATTTTGACTTTTAAGATAAATAAGAAGTGTATATTTGTAGTTGACTTTCGAATTTTCCCCTTAATGTGATGGGTAAAAGTAAAATTCGATGTGATAAATAGATTATTAGTGAAAACGTATGATGTGATAGATAGAGTAAGAAAAAGTAGAGATGAAAGTTGTTTTTAATATAGGGTGGAATGCCCACCCAGGCGCCTCCACACCCCGACCCGACAGGATTGTGAAGAGGATTAATCTGTTGGAAACAATCTTTTATTATAACAGGAAAATTACTCAAAACCAATTACAATAAACTCTCATATGTTTCTCATATCATAACCCAAGCTTGGCTAAGATGTATATAGAGCTAATTAAGCCTACAACCCATAATTCTATTCCTACTCGAACTTGAATATCTCGGGTAATCCTAATCCTACTCGATAATTAGCCAACAATACCCTCCTAATTTTTGAGATGGATTGCAGGTGAACTTCAACTCCAAGCATGTCTTCTTTACTTTGATTCTCATGAGGCTCTTCATGGTCCCTTGCAGTGTTCTTTGGGCTCCACTTATCTTGAACAAACGCTTGCTTCTTGTGATCATTACACGTCCTCCCTTGGGTTAGAATCCTTTTCTTGACATCTCCTTTAAACTCTTGAACATTCTTCTTTGGACTTTGAATTTTGAGTTTCTCCATTAAACTTGGATCTCTTAGAAGATTCTGACTCGTACCTTGCATACCTTCTTTCAGTTGATCAACTCTTTGTAGATCCCTACCCACAAAATTCTTCATTCCAAACATGCTAACTTGTGTACTGGGACTTGCTATCTTGAGATTGATCTTGTACAAACAATTCGTGGTTCTTTTCACCTTCATCATAAGCTTCCCCGTGTCATCATGAATGGTTAGCAAATCACACTTCATGTGAATGTCGCATCCACCTTCCGTTGTTTGACCAAGACTTATGATGTTGCTCTATAGGCTGGGTATGTAGTACACATCGGTCAACAGGCGATGCTCCCCTATTTTTCCTTCAAGTAATACATATCCCTTTTCCTCGTATGTCAATACAAGATGCATCTCCAAACTTCACCTTTCTCGTGACACGTTCATTAAGTTCAAAGAAGTAAGCTTGATTACCGGTCATGTGATTCGATGCTCCGTTGTCGAGATACAAAATGTCTTTCTCCTATGGTTCAACCTCAAAACGCTTCGGAATCACCCCTTCTTCATTTAAAAAGATATTCTCTTGATCACATTTCATCATGAACAAAGATGGATCCAGAACATCAATTTCAGCTAAATTAGCTTCCTCCTGTTTCTTCATACGCTCCGGGCACACTGATGCAAAGTGACCAAATTTATCACATCGAAAACACTAAACCTTTGACCTATCCTTTCTTCCCTTCTGATGATCATTGGTTCTTCTTTGACTCGTTCGCTTTGACCCATAATCTTGACCATCTCGGAATTGACTTCCATCTTGGTCAACATCATCCTGGTCTTGGTTTCTTCTTTGACCTTGGTTGCATTGGCTTTTCCTCTCGATCCGTTTTCCCCCCTTTGAGAATGAGATCTTTCACCATTGGAGAATAATAGTTTACTTTGTGTTTCTATATCCTCTTCTTTGATTCTCTCTTCGTAAGCTTTCAACCGGCCTATGGTTTCTTGAAATCCTATTTTATTCAAATCTAGAACTTGCTCCAACGAGGCGACTATATGGATGTATTTCGAACGAGGAAGAGACTTTAGAAACTTCTTACCCATCTTTTTCTCTTCGATCTCTTCTCCAAGGGCTCCAGATTTGAGGCCAAACTTGATAACTTCTCAGCAAAATCATCAATTGACTCTGAATAATGCATCTTCAAATTATCAAATTCTGCATTTAGGGTTTGGAGACGAGCTTCTCTAACTCTCTCAGGCCCCAAGTGACGAGTTTTGATTGCATCCACAAATCCTTCGCGGTCTCCTCATTGCCTACTTGCAATATTAGATTTTCTGGAATTGATTGAAACAACAGTGTCGTTGCCATATCATTCTTCTCGACATCAGCTGTCCCTGGTTCAATTGTTTCCCACACTTTATGAACCCTTAAGACGACTTTCATTCTCATGGCCCATACGGTGTAGTTCGTAGCGTTTAGCATGAGACATTGGATAGATGTAAGTCCAACTTCCTTAACCTTCGACTGTAGTGTCTCAGATTCTGTCATATTTTTCTTGCATCGACTATACGTCAAGAGTGGTGTAACAGGATCCAGTACTTTAGTTTAAAGCAAATTTGATTAAACCTTACTAGTTTAATCCAATCCTGTTTTCATGAAATCAGGCCTACCACACTAATTTCAATTCTTGGCCCAAACCACCAAATGGAGCCCAATCCAATCCAAACAAAGAAAAGGGCTGACCACTGCTCGTTCCCCTCCCCCTTTTTTTCTCCGGCTTTGGACCTTCTGCACGGCAACTGGACGGCGACTGCTCTGTACGTGGACGGCAGCAACCAGGCGAGACGCAGGTTTCAGATCCTTCGGACGGCGACCCGCTGTGCGACTGTGCTGTGTGAGATCGGGAGACGCAGGGGTGCGTTCCTCTGTCCGGCTACGATTGAAGCGAAAACAGGGACGGCGATCTATCTCCTCCTGCTACGTTTTCCTGCCCTCTGGTGACGATGATCCGTACTCGACGTGGCGGATGAGCTTCCTCACTGCGGTTCAATGATCAGCGGCGAACTCCCTTCGCGCGCACGTCCTTCAGATCCGATCAAATAAGATCTCCCCTGCGCAACACAGCCGAGGCTCTTTAGCGGCTCCTGCTCTCCCCTCGATCTGAGGCGAAAAACGACTGAATTTGTTTTGGTAGGTCTTTATAACAGTTTCCATATTTAGTCCTCTATTAACAAATATTACCCCCGTAGTCCTTTTTTAAGGGTGCCTTTCTAGACATGGTTTTTTTGATCTTCTGCCATGTTGGTGTTAATTTAAAGGGTAAAAGTATAATTTGACATCAACATTATGTCTAAAGACGTGCTCTGATATTGGTTAAGCGGATAACATAAAAATAATGACTATGATTGTGGGCTATGATTCTGACGAAAGACCACATTTGTAGACTATGCTTGTAGTAGAAAGCGATTGTAATTCACAAACGACGCAAAACGGAACAACCTTTGGAATTGTGTATGACAAAAAAGATATATTATCAATGTCAAATTACACTTTTAGCCCTCAAATTAACACCAACATGATTGAGGATCAAAAAAGGACTATTTGTGGAAACATATCCATAAAAGAAGGACCACTAGTGTAATATTTGATAATAGAGGCCTAAATAGGGAAACCCTCCTGTTATAAAGGACCAATTATGAAATTTATTCTTTTTTTAATTTTATTATTTGTGCTCAGATACCAATTGTTGGAAACAATCTTTTATTATAACTGTAAAATTACTCAAAACCAAACAGTCTCATATGTTTCTCATATCATAACCCAAGCTTGGCTAAGATATAAATAGAGCAAATTAAGCCTACAACCCATAATTCTATTCCTACTCGAACTAGAATATCTCGGGTAATCCTAATCCTACTCGATAATTAGCCAACATAATCATGGTAAATCTCAATCTAGTTTTAGAGAGGTTACCCCGTGTCCGATGCGCATGAGGAGCTATTACAAATACGAAGTGTTTTAAAGAGCGGAGGAAGTATATATCTAATACTCCCTCCGTCTCAAAAAGATTGGTACATATTGACTTTTTGGGAAATTAAGGGAGGGATATTTAGGTGTTGACTTTCCAAAAATATCCTTGATGTGATGGGTAAAAGTAGGATGTGATGAATAGATTATTACGAAAAAGGTATGATGTGATAGGTAGAGTATGAAAAGGTAAGGGGTAAAAGCGCTTTTTAATAGAAATGTAACGGACTTTACTGGACACATTTTTTCTAAACATGTCGGACTTTTTGGGACGGAGGGAGTATGAAACTATGTAGAATTTGAACGAAAAATGATAACAGCATGCCTAGCAAAAGCGAAGGAAAAGAAAGAACATAGGTATGACCGGCATAAAACTAATAAATTTAAGCATTTTTATTGGAGATAATTGCTTGAATACAGAGTAAGAGAAAGTTGCAAAACAAAACAAAAAATATATAGGCAAATTAAGAAGGAAAATAGGGTTGGACCTTTCTCCTTCTGCTTCCCTCGGCGCGAGGAACCGGCGGAGGTAGAAACCAGGGCTATGGACCCTTACACGCGACGGATGGGGATGGCGTCTGGGAACGCCTCGGCCAGAACGATCTCTGGTTCAGGATCAGTCTCCCAACCAGGGTAGACCCCCCACTTCCCAACGTTGTAGAGACCGTGGGTGGAGGCGCCCCCGGCCCGGAGAGTGGTTTCCTAGGCAGCCAGGTCGACGGTCTCCCTGGGCTTGACCTGGACTTTCATTTTTTCCCCCGGGCATTTTGGGCAAATGAAAAAGTGTCCGGGGGGAATTTGATGGAAACATATCTATCCTTCCAACCCCTGTTGGATGGAGGAAGACCAGAAAGGAATGCCCGGCCCTGATGGGAGGACACAATCACGAATCCAAGGGTTTCCTTGGACCCGGGCCGAACATCGAACATATGATCAAAAAGACGGAGAGAGAGAGGAATGCGAAGGAAACAACAGATATTGATAAAACTACTGAGCATATGGTTACCATTAGGGGCTACCTGCCCGGGCATGATCCCGTATGTCTCAAAGAAAAGGACCTTGAAAGGGTGAATAGAGAATTCACCCAAGTCCTTGATGGAGTGGTAATGGATGCCAATCGTCGTACGAGCATGGAGAGAAATAATATTCTTCCACGTTGCCCAGTAGGAATATTGGTAACCATCAGGCGTAAGGTTGCGCAGTTTGTGAACTTGGGCCTTCTCCATGTACGATGGCTGCTCTAAGAGAAACCGGTCGTCCAGCGGAATGAAGCCGTCATCCACGGATCGGGAGATAGTAGAAGCAACCGGGAAGATTTTTAGATAGCAAGAGATAGTAGAAGCAACCAGGAAGATTTTTAGATAGCAATTTGCAAGTGAGGAAATTCATGGGGGAACCTCGCTTTATATAGGGGAGGTCCCGCCCAGCCGGACAAATAAAGGAGCAACATGTGGCAGCCGAAATAATTCATAATGATGACAAAACGGCGCGACAAATCGGCGGCGCCGTACCGGATTTCAATAAAGATTCCCCCCGCGTTTGACGCCCGGGATTTCAAAATTCAAAATTCAAAAATATTTATTTTGGCGCTGGTTTGCAGAGGCCATTTTCCTGCCAAAATGCACCTGGGAAGTTGAAATTTGAAAAGATCCTCGCATATGCTTCTCGCCCCTGATGGTACCCACAGAGCTAGGAATCAGAGGACTCCTTGATGGGTAATAACCCAGGGATTCCACCCGGTAGGTTCAACCGACCGGGAGGTATCAAATGCAACATCCGTGACCTAGTCGACCCGGGCAGTTTGACCGGTCGGGGGTGGGAAGATCTGAAACCAAAGACGTAGCTTCTTTTGACGAAGGCATACAAACTGACTGGTCAGTGATCTGACCGGCCGGATGAGCAAAGACGTGCTTGACGTGCTTAGGGATTATTATAAATACCCCTAAAAGCCTCATTTGTGAGGCATGCTTTAAATTAACCCACACGACTTGTACTTTGTAATAGTCCTAAGATCATTAATAACAAACCGGGTTACAGGTGTTTCCACCTACAGACCTTCCGTTCATTTACACTTAATATTTGCACGGTATTTACACCATCAAGCCTTATTAATTCTTAACCTACCTATCATATCATACCTTTTTACTAATAATCTGCATATCGAATCTTATTTTTACTTGTTCCATCAAGTTTTGTTTTTGAAATTCAACACAAATTTTCATTTCTTTAAATTTTTTAAAAATCAAAACGAGAACATCTTTTGAGAGGGAGGTATTCTTTCAACTTCTTCAAAAAAAAAGTCAACGGTCACTCATATCATATGCAGATTGTTTATCTTCACATACCGTGGTTCCGCAAGTGTGATCGCCGATTGTTTTTGTTTTATGGTATTAGTTACCTCAACCTGGATTGGAGACTTAAAAAGGACAAATTAAAAAAGAGTAAAACTAATTTATACTACAAGTTAAAATTAATTTTAACCTTAAAATCGAAGAGAAAAGAGATACAAATCATTTAAATAACTTCATTTAGATAAATTACTTATTTTTATTATATTCAAAAGAAAAATTGTTTTGTTGAAAGCTTAAAAATATATTCTGGCCTATTTTTTATTACCCCCTCTATTCAATATCTTTCTTTTTGTTTGATTTTTCACGACTTTCTAAATTAATACATCAAACAGTAATTGGTAAAAAGTGTGTAATTTTCATTGACGATATTTTGGTGTATTCCAAGATACTTGAGGATCATACCAAGCATCTAAAGACAGTACTATGTGTGCTAAAAGAGCACGAATTGTATGCCAAACTATCGAAGTGTGAATTTTGGCTCAATGAAGGCATATTCATGGGACATGTGACTTCTAATGAAGGTATCAAAGTAGATCATATCCAAGCAAAATTTCAGCTATCACGAAGTGGAAGTCTCCGAGGAATGCACTGAAGGTGAGGAGTTTTCTTGTCTTAGAAGGATATTACCGGCATTTCGTGGAAGGTTTCTCCTCTATTGCATCTCCACTGAATAAGCTACTAAGGAAAGACGTAAAATTTGTATAGACCGATGCTTGTCAACAAAGCTTTAAGGGACTTAAGAAGTGTTTGACTGAGGCACCAGGGTTGGTACAGCCAATGCCAAGAGTGAATTACATACTTTGTTGTGATGCATCTCACAATGGACTTGTGTGTGTACTTATACATGTAGGTAAGGTTGTGTTGGAACACGTGTTTACGCCTATATATGTCGTACTAAAGCCGTGTTTGTTTGTGACAGGTTTTTATAATGCCAAACCGCCGTGAATATGACAAGACGTTGAACAAAATCAAGGTAAAGAAAATTGGCATATTGATCAAGTAAAAACAAGAACCAAGAACAAAGACGAAGACTTAGAAAATAGTTGAGTCAGTCCTTATGTGATCAAGATCGGCATTAACTTTGCAGACTTGGCTCTATAGGTTAAATTCATTTAAATAATTTTCATGCATCATTAAAACTCTTTTCATAAATTTTTAATAAGACAAAAATACTTGGAGACCGCCCAAATAAAAAATCAAGTCGTCCGGCATTGGACTTTTAGAAACCGGCGTTCACCTTTCGGTTGTCAGCATTGGTTTTTTGCGTCAGAACCAACCAAGAGGTTTTGTAACTTTTTATGATTGGTTTTTTACTTCCGGGCATGTTTAAACTGTTCTCCAACAAAAACGTATTAAAAACCACCTTTCGTTTTTAGTCTTTTGGTAAAAACCATGTGAAATGGCATAAACTTGGCTAGCCGTGGTTTTTACCTTAATGACGTGGTTTTTAAGATATTTCACTTGGTTTCTTATTCAAATACATTAAATAAGTGTTTTCAAAACATGGTTTTAAAACAGGAGAACTTTTTTTTTGACATCGGTTTTCGGCGTTAATAAGCTAGCCATGGTTCTGACGAACCAGCCAACAGCGATGTTGGATATGCCAACAGTTCTATTTGGTGTTAGCACTTGATAATCATGGTTTGTCATTAAGTCTACCAACAACGATGTTGGATTGTGAACATCGCTGTTATGTCAAGCCTAAAACTTCTAGTAGCCTTTGAAACAATGATGTAGGAGTCCCTACATCGATGTTAAGTTCAGGGCCAACAAAAATGAGTTTTGGCAGAACATTTTTGAACAGCGATGTTGGCCCACCAACATCGATGTTTGGACAGTCACTGTTCAGGTTAAGCTTGTGAACATCAATG